AAACAGTCAAGGTAAAGAAGACCTTGTTGATATCAAATGCTGAAAGGTTAATATTTTTCTTGTTTCTTTTTTATTTTTCTTCTTATTATTTTTTGACACAGAGTTTCACTCAGTTCCCCTTTGACTGAGTGCTGGGCGTCACAGATCACAGTAAACTCAAACTCTTGGGCTCAAGTGATCTTCTTGTCTGAGCCTCCTGAGTGGCTAGGACTACAGGCATCCACCATGACACCTGACTAGTTTTTCTATTTTTAGTAGAGCCAGGGTCTTGCTCTTGCTCAGGCTGCTATGGAACTAATGAGCTCAAGCAATCTGCCCACCTTGGCCTCCCAGAGTTCTGGATTACAGGCATGAGCCACCATGCCCGCCCAGCCTTTGAAAGTTTAATTTTCTAACACAGCACCACCACCAGCTGGGCCAGTGCTCGCTCTCTATGGGATGATGGAGGATACAGTTGTTTGTTGTTTTGATGATGTTTCAAAACTTGAATTTATTGAAGGGCCTTAAAAAGCCTTTTTTTTATATGAATAATTAATATTCATTTTGGATGAACTCTTTGGAGCTATGGACAAGATACATCTCAATTATCTGAATATTCTTAAGAAGCCAGATATTTCTTTAATTCCTTTTGTTAAAAGGGTATGTTTATTCCTTTTAAAATACAATTAAGACATTGAAAATGATAGAGGAAATAATAGATCTATATCAAGCAATTATTTAAAAATTAAATGAATTAATTTATGTAAAGTACTTGCAACATTAATTTAAAAATTGAATGAATTAATTTATATAAAGTACTTGTAACTGTCACATGGTAAGCACTATGTGGGTATGGACTGTCAGTGTTACCTACAATAAGAGTTTTTAAAAAAATTACAATGCAACAGTACAGGGCTGGCCAATATTCATTTGATTCAGGGTCCTAAAACATCTTGAGCACTAGATACTAGAGAAGGATTAATATCCACACAAGCCAATTGTACAGATAAGATATAGATAGAGAAGGAAGAAAAAGAGAAAGGGGAAGAGGAACAGAGAAAAGAAAGTAAGTGAACGCGCAAATGGTCAAGCAATGCGGTGTTACAATCCCAACAAGAGTTTCTTTCATCAGCCAAATGTTACAGTGGGTCCCTCAGTAGCCAAGACACATAGTGTAGCTGCTATCAGCCAAAAATATTATTTCTTGCTTCTCTCCTTTGTGTTGATAATCAAGAGAGAGCATTATCTAAAATGACAGTAATTTTAATCATTGATTTTTCTGTCATATGTCATATATTTCAGTTTTTCATGTTAAAATAAAAAGAAACATACAATTCAGGCCAAATCACATTATATAATTTAAAAAATAATCCATGCATCATTATCAAATTAATTTTCTAATATTATATTTCAAATTAACATTAAAAATAGGGACACCTTACTCTAGGAGCTGACTCGGTGTCCTTACTCACAAAGTGGTGAGGGGAATGGATGAGAAGAGCTGGATGAGATGGGGTAAAGTTTCTGTTACTTTTCACCTCCCATGAGTCTATTTAAGACTCCTAAGAAGAAAATAACAGATATTTCACAACTAAGTTTATACAGAATCCATAAGAGCTGTAATGCTATGCCTTTCTTTTATAACACAGTCATCAGCATCCCTGGGAAAGAGGCTCAATGATGGTCCTACACCAAGAATGAGCTTTAGGCTTCCAGCAGCAATTCTAAGAATGATAGTACATAGACCAGTTTATAGATGTTCACCTCTTGGTTAAGATACCATTTGCTTTTATCCTTTTTACCAGTATAAATATCCTTTAAAGTATGATAATAACAGTTGTGGTAGGACTTAACAAAAATTCATTACTTTTATTTTTAAATTTCTATAATTTAGAAAAATTGGAACAGAGGCAATTCAGTAAGAGATTTTCAGGCTACTTTTAAAAGAGCTTCTGTACACAATAAAGAATAACAAATTTAATTTGGCTTTATAAAAGCACTGGAAATTACATCTGAATGTGTTTCTAAATAAAAAAGCTTTGGTTTAAATAACTGTTCTATTAATATATTGACTGATCTGGAGCCAATGGAAATAAAGTTTTCTGATTTATTATAAGTAACTGGGAAGTTGAAAATAAAAAAATAAAAATCACTGGAAATTCTTTGAGAATACATTAGTGTACTTTTCTGTCTTCAAAAAGTATAGTTTTTTTGATGCTTCAAAACCTTAAGGGGTCCTCAAACTTTTTAAACCAGGGCCAGTTCACTGTGCCTCAGACCATTGGAGGTCTGGACTGTGGGCCCCAGGACGAGTCAGCTTCTAAGCAGGACAGGCAGCGGCAGCAAAAAGGGCTAGATAAATGTCCTAGGAGGGCTGCATGTGGCCCGCAGGCCGTAGTTTGAGGATGCCTACGATAGAAATAAAAAATTTTAACCTGGACAAGACTTGATCTAATTCTCTCTTTTTTTTTTTCTTAGATAAAAGTACTGATGAACCAGATAGTAAGTGATGAATCAGAAAGTTTGGATCTCAGCCTTTAATTGAGAAGTGTGTTAAGTCATTAAGAACTTTCTTCCCAAAGGCAATGAGAACTTATACTTGTAAAACTGATAAAACTATTAAATAGGGGCATTTTTGAGAATATTTTTCTCCTTTTTAAACTTGTTTTGGCATTGTCTTAAAGACTAGCTGAGGATTCATGTTTTGATATTTTCATTTATCCAACTGAAGATTGCTTGATCCATTATACTTTGAAGACAGGCCTGCAATGATCACTACCAAATCTATTTCTTATAGGGTTCATTGGCCTTTGATATGCCCACATTAATTCACTAACCTAATTCTTTTTGTTGTTTCTGTATTTTGTAGTAATCTTTTTCTACAAGATTGAAAAAGATTTAGGTCTTGGTGAATTTCATTCTTGATTTTCATTCGAGTATTTTCATTCTTGTTTTTCCAAAATAAGACTGAAATTTCTCAAAACATTTAGCCTAATAGAAAAAAAAAGAGAGACAGAGAGAAATATCATTGCCCATGAGTCAGGAGACACAGCTTGTTCTGACTCTGCCCCGCCTAACTGATGGACAATCTTAGGTAAGTCTCTCACCATCTCCAACCTTGGTTTACTTAGCAATAAGACAAAAGTGCTGACTACTTCCTTTTGGCCTAAAATGATAAGCCCATATTTAGTAGGAAAGCTATACACTGAAATTATTGACAGTGATTCAGCAGGAGGAAATTACACCAGTGAGGTTCATAAATAACGTACTTGCGTTGATCTGGGTAGGGTGACAACATTTACTGCAGCATAGATCTATCAGTGGTAAAGGCAAATATTATGGGATTGTGACTATGTGTCTTGGCTAGGTTTTTATTAAACATATTGTATTTTCAAGTTAAATAAAAGTCATTTGTTATGAATTAATACATCACACTTTCTTATCAGAGCTTTTTAAATAACTACGATTGCTAACAGAAGGATAAAAGCTTCTGTAAAGACTTAAATGGGAGCGAGAAGACAAAGATACAGACACCCGTGACCAATGTAGGTCTCGGGTTCCAGAGAATATTTGAGATCCAGATAACACTTGTTAATCTTCCTGGAGAAACAGCTAGTACAAAGGCCAAGGGCGCTCCGCTTGTTTGAAGCCCACATAATGCGTGCTTGATGTATGTGTGTAATCCCTGTTTCCAGAGACTTGTCAGACCTTGTGGAAAAGGGTTTGCTCCAAGTGCAGATGAAGAGACAAATCAGGAGCAAACAACAGCTTTACTTTCTCCTGTGAGCAATCAGACACTAACCTTCTAGTACAATTATTCCAGTACGATTCTGTGCTGTCTCGTTCAAGAACTTAAGCATTGAAAGATAAATAATGGAGCATAAGGGTCACTGATTCTTCACAGTCTTATGAGATAATATTACCCGTACTTCCTCAGAAACGGCTTAAAATAGCAGAGGGTGGTGGGACTTCCAAAGTTGTTTTCCTTTCAGTTCAATAGAGATTGCATTGAAATGCAACAAGCTTCTAATTCAGTCTTTTTACCTATAAATCTGCCCCTTCTTTGAGAAAACAAGAAACAAAGAGGGAATGCATGGAAACTAGGAGATAACACTTTGAATGAAGATAATTCTTACAGAGACTTGAAGTGATAGATTTAAACTTTTGAAATCATTACATAAAGTTATCTATTGCCGTTTTGCAGGGATAATCACCAAAAGAAGATGAAACATAATGACTTTAAATTGGCCAAAATGATTTTCAATAATATATGTGGAGGATAGTCAAAACGTCCAAGAGGAGAGAAAACATGAGTATGAGCCAGGTGGACCTTTTACATGGAGCCTAGAAAATATTTTATGAAAATGCTAGTCCCAAAGCAGTGTGTAAGAACACTTATAGGTCGAAAGCTAAATATAAATGATGTAAATGACTAATGGAACAGTAGAATTAGGATATTAATTGTCTAAATTCTCTTCCTTTGTTTCTCTTAAACATTAAATGTGGAGATTTAAAGGCAGGATGTAAAGGATAAAACAATATGAGAATCTTTACACTGGCCTGAAGGTGGGGCAATCCATCAAAACCTTCTTTTCAAATATTAACATATAACATCACTGTCCTAATGTCCTCTGTAGCTGAAGACAGAGAAACAAATCAGGTAGGGGAGCATACTGTCCCCCAAAGTATCACAGGACATCATGCCATACACAGGCAGGCACTAAGGCCATAATAATAAATGCCTTATACACATATATTGGAAGAAAATTGGCCAACAGTTTTGTCCACAAGTTTGTTGAATGAATGTACCCAAGTATAACAAAATACTTTCACATTTTACTAATGTATTATATTCTCACCACCAAAATATAACCTGTGCAAAATATTAAATTTTTACTATAGAATATTCCCCTATAATTAAAAAAAAAAGAAAATCCCTTTTCCTCAACTTCCCCCTCAACTTGTTCCAAAGTATATTAAATTTGACTGATTAATGACTGATATTTCCTAACATGAAGGCTTTATAATGAAAGAATTTAAGGCAAACTTTTACAAAGAACAAATTCAGCAAAATTGATATCAATAAAACTTCTAAAATATCTTTAAAGGCATATGTAGGTATCTATAAAACACTTCTTTCACAAATGGTAAATTTCTCATACCTGGGATATTATATAAGAAGTTCCATAATTGCTCTTCTTCCATGTAGCTCAGAAAAACACTTCCAAATGTTTGTGGAGAAAAACTGCAATGATACAGTACTTTAAAGATGGCTTCCATCAAGCTGGGTCTTTGGGTCAGATGATTTTCTGTATTAGAAACTTGTTCTTGAAAAGAATTAAAGTGATTTAGAAGGTAGGTATCAGTGAATATGATTAAATTCTTATAACTTACTTTTGCATAACATTATGAAAACATATTTGATTAATATTTGCATAATAAAATAAATACCACATTCTTTCAGATCAATGATCCATCAAACCCAGTATTGTTTCTGAGATATCCATAGTTACTTTCGGAAAAAAAAATTGTGAGAAGGATCACAGTGACATCACTTCAAAGGACAAGGCTAGTTTTCCTAAGTGTCATAATTTTTTCTCTTAAGGAACATTGTTTTGTATCTCTTTCACATTTAAAAATTAAATAATGAAAAAAGTAAGATAAACTTAGTTAGAATATAAATGAGAATGAATACAAATTCTTTCTAAAAATTATATTAAAAAAAAAAAAAGCCAGACAACTAAGAAAACTAAAATTACACCATAGGAAAACTCTGAAATGATAAACCATTCCAAATGGTTTATCATTATCCAAATGAAGAGGTTTCTCAATTGGTTCCTTAATAAAATCATACAAGGAACTCCACAAAAATGAAGCCACTTTAATTGCCCTTTTCAAATCTCTTCAGGCTCCATTATGGTCTCCTCAAAGATCAGCAATCAAAAGTGTCTGTACCATTTCATTTATTGTCTGGATGAAAAGGTGAAATAATAACTTCTAAGCATGAGATATCTGGTATCATGATATGGATACTAAACATGAGATATCTAGTATCATGGTATGCAAACTTATCAACTGAATTAAAGATAATAACAACTCATTTCTTGCCCTTTTATTTTAAATATCTCAGATAAATGTACTCTAGAGTATTTCGGTATGAATACATTCCTTTATTCTTGCTCATTTAGAAGCTCATCAATTTTATGTTTTCTCTTGAAAATTTCATTTCTGTGAATTGATTTTCAGGGTCTGGAAGAGTTCACTGTTATCTGAGAACTAAGAAATAGCACCATAGACTTTATGCAGAAAACATTTATTAGTTTTGTTAATATCCATTTTCTTTCTTTTCTTTAAACAAGTTCCTTTTCCTTTAGCAAGTGATCTCTGTTCCTGTCTGTATCCCTTGACCCCCTCAACACACACATTTAGTTTACTTGGGTTGAATAGAGCTAACTCCATTATCTGGGGCAAACACATGCCCAAGGCCTGGCCAATCACAGCATGACATTGCCCATCAACAGGCATCAGTTCAGGAAGGGGGAGTTTTGCTGAAATTATTGGTAAAGCAGTGTTCCCTTTCTACTGGGTTTGCTAAGCTGGTATGGACTAGACCGAGGGCCATTTAGGGGAGAACTTGAGTAAGAATGAATTCAATAAAGTAAGAAGCAGAACTAAGAGACAGAGAGAAAATTCCTGATTAGATGACGCTGTCTGCAACCTGGAACCAGCAATGCACACATTATCTATGTAAGATTACCTGATAAATTTCCTTAATTTGTTAAATAAGACTAATATGGATTTCTTCACTTGCTATATAAAAGCTCTTGACTTTTCCATCAAATATAAATGTTAGATGGCAAATATTCCTAATCCAGGCATTCATAATTTCATTTTCTAAAATCCAAATAATCTTTGTAGTTCTTTCTTCCAACCCCTCCTTCCAATGAATCTTAGATGCAACATTCAGTGATACTTTATGTCCCCCATGTTTAAACCTACCCCTTTCCTCCATTTTCTTAAAACTTCCTTAGTCTGAAGGAGGGAGGGGGTGGGGGTACAAGGGGTGTGGTACACCTTCTGGGGGCAGGACATAATCACAAGAGGGTCCTTATCTAGCAAAGGTAATCAACGTAACCTGGTTCTCTGTACCCTCAATGAATCCCCAACAATTAAAAAAAAAAAAAAACTTCCTTAGTCTGATTGATAATCAAGAGTCTCCTCATCTTTTTTTATTTTTTTTTAATGTCAATATTAAGGGGACACAAATGTTTTAGGTTACACAGACATTTTTGTAATGCTTCTGTCCTGGCTTCTGTCCTAACTATCCCCAACAATTTAAAAAAAAAAAAACTGCCTTAGTCTAATTGATAATCAAGAGTTTCCACATCTTTTTTTTTTTTTTTTTAATGTCAATATTAAGGGGACACAAATATATTAGGCTACACAGATCATTTTTGTAATGCTTCCATTCTGGCTATAGGGGCGCTCCTCACCCAAATAGTGTTCTAGCACCCATGTCCCCCATCTCCTTCCCCTCCCCCTAGTTGCTTTCCACTGAGTTTTACCTCGTGGCACTTGTGCATTTATCAGTTAGTTCCAATTTAATGATGAGTACATGTAGTGTTTGTTTTTCCAAGCCTGAGATACTTCACTTAGAAGAGTTGTTTCCAGTTCTAATTACTTTGTTTTTTGTTTTCTTTCTTTCTTTTTTTTTTTTTTAACTTTTCCCCCTAGATTTTTTCTTTTTCTTTTTTCTTCATTTTTCTCATGTAAATATAATTTTTCATTATTACCTTCTTTAATAATAATAACTCCATTTTTGCTAGTTTTTCTGACCCTGTATTTGTTTTTCCCCCCAATTTTATCCTGTAAAGTTTTTTGTTTGTTTCTTTTGGTTTGATTCATAGGATTTTTGTTTTTCTTCTCTATTTTGTGGAGGTGGAGTACTGTGTCTGCTCAGGCTGGCAAAGAGCTGCAGATGTCAAGGGAATCACCAACCTCCAAAGGCTGGGATTTCTTAGGTGTGGGTCAAAGTACCTTACTATACACCTTTATCACTCCAGTCTCCCTCTTTCTGTGCCTCTCTTCCTTTAGTCAACCTTCCCTTTCTCTCTCCCCCTTTCCTTTCTCTTTTTTCTTCTTCTTCTTTTAAATCTCTTATCCCCTCTTTCTCTTCAATATTCTCATCCTTTTAGTCCTGTATCAAAAGCACACACCCACACCTTAGGTCAGAGGCACAGTAACTTAAAGAGCAAGAGTAAGTGAAAGAAAAATGTAGGGCAAGGAAACAGACAAAAGGAAAACACTCATAAAGAAGAAACAGCAGAAAAAATCCTGGTAACATGAAAAAACAGACCAGAACAAACTCTCCATCCTCCAGGGGACCATGAGGTAGCTACTGCAGAGGATTCCGCCTATAAAGAAGTGTTAGAAATGACAGAAGGGGAATTTAAAATATGGATGATGAAAACAATGAAGGAAATTATTGAGAAAGTAGAAAATAATCAAAATGAAATCCAAAAACAGAATCAAATAAGAGATGAATGATATGAAGAATATAGAAAGGACATAGCAGAGCTGAAGGAATTGAAGCAGTCAATTAGGGAACTTAAAGATGCAATAGAAAGTATCAATAACAGATTAGACCATGCAGAAGAAAGAATCTCAGAGGTAGAGGACAAAACTCTTGAGCTAACTCAGACAGTGAAAAAGTCAAAAAAAAAAAAAAAAAGAAGAAGAAGAAGAAGAAAGAAAAGAAAAAGAGAAAGCAGAACATTCACTGACAGAATTATGGGACTTTATGAAGTGTTCAAACATATGAGTTCTTCCCCAGAGGGGAAGAAGAGTGCCCTAGAAGAATGGAAGCCATACTAGGGAATATTATAAATGAAAATTTCCCAAATATTATTAAAGATCCTGACACACTCCTTTCAGAGGAATTGTGGGCAGCATGTTGTCTCAATTCAAATAGAATTTCTCCAAGACACATTGTGATAAACTTGTCCAAAGCCAAGACAAAAGAAAAGATTCTGCAAGCTGCAAGGAGTAAGAGCCAATTGACCTATCTGGGCAAGTCCATCAGGGTGGCTGCAGACTTCTCTAATAAAACTTTTCAAGCCAGAAGACAATGATCATCTACCTTTAATCTACTTACACAAAATAATTTCCAACCCAGAATTCTATATCCTGCTGAAAAGCTTTAAACTTGACAGAGAAATCAAATCATTTACTGATATGCAAACATTGAAGAAGTTTGCCACACAAGACCAGCTCTACAGGAAATACTTAGACCTATTCTACACACTGACCATCACAATGGACCACTAGCAAACTAAACACTCAGAAACTAAAGGACAAAACCTAGCTTCCACAATGATTCAAAAGATAAAACTAAGCAATGGACTTTCACAAAATAAGATGAATAGAACTCCACCACACTTAACAATTATCTCAACAAATGGTAATGGCTGGAATTTCCCACTGAAGAGGCATAGACTGGATGATTGGATAACAAAACACAAGGCATCCGTTTGCTGTCTGCAGGAAACACACCCTGCCTTAAAGGACAAATTAAAACTCAGGGCTAAGGGATGGAAAACAATTTTCCAGGCAAATGGAATTCAGAAGAAAAGAGGGGTTGCAATCTTATTTTCAGATACAAGTGGATTTAAAGCAATTAAAGTCATAAAAAGGCAAAGATGGACACTTCATATTGGTCAAGGGAAAAATACAACAAGAAGATATTTAAATTCTAAATATTTGTGTTAAATATTTAATTGAGATATTTAAATTCTAAATATTTGTGTTAAATGTTTGCAGGTTCATGAGACAGACTTTAACTAGTCTGAGCAATATGACATTCCATAACAATAATAGCAGGAGACTTTAACATTCCTATTACAGAGCTAGACAGATTCTCTAAACAGAAACTATACAAAGATATAAGGGACTTAAATGAGACCCTAGAATAACTGTGCTTCATATACCCTTCATAAAATCCTCCATTCTAAAGATAAAGAATGTTAGTTCTCATTTGCCCATGGAATATTCTCCAAAATTAATCATATCCTAGGACACAAAACAAACCTCAACAGAATCAAAAGAATTGAATTTTTACCTTGTATCTTCTCAGACCACAGGCATTAAAGGTGGAACTCAACTCAACAAAAATGTTCAACCCCACACAAAGGCATGGAAATTAAACAACCTTATACTGAATGACAGTTGGGTGCAGGAAGAGATAAATGAGGAAATCAATAACTTCCTTGGGCATAACAACAATGAAGACACAAGCTACCAAAACAACCTATGGGATACAGCAAAAGCAGTTCTGGTAGGAAA